GCCGCTTTTGCGCGGGGGCTCTCGCTTCGGGGGGGGTGTGTGTGTGTGTGTGTGTGTGTGTGTGTGTGTGTGTGTGTGTGTGAACTTTTCCTCGGCCGATCCGCTCTGAGTTTCAGGATCTTTGTGAGGTGTGTGTATGATGGTGGCGGGGGGGAGGGGGGGGTTGGGAGGGATATATTTAATCACTCATAATACAATATAAATAATTTGTCCCAGTCGCTCTTGCTGGCTGACAGACAGCGGAGAATAAAGTGATTCGAGTCCCCGCTGAAACTCATGCGCCCGCACCCGCTCTACCTTGCTCTGAGCTGCACTGTGAGGTTTTCTTTCTTATTTTTTTTTTTTTTGGTCCCTCAGAGGAGATCACTACCCACTTCTGGCTCCTCAGAAAAGGGGGATTAAAAAGCAAATCTTAGTGTGAAACATAGGTCTGAGCCGAGCCAGCCCCTCAACATGGGTTTCGGTTGAAGTTTCGAAGTTGGGCTTGCCTTCCAACTCAACTGAAGGCAGTAAATAAAGTTAAACGCTTCTTATTTTCCTCTGGAATATGTGAAAGTACCCGAACAATTTAAAGAGCTTTGCACAAGTGAAGCGAACCATCTCTAATGTTCTGATTTTTCAAAGCCAGCCAACAACAAAGTTTAGATTAGTAATATATTTCTAACCAGAGTAATTTTCAAGATCATTAGGCATTTATGTAATTAGTGCCAAATCTATAAGCTTTTATTACGATTATTAGAGTAAAATCAGTATAAATTTGTACTAATTTACTACTGTTTAGACTTGGCTGTCAAGCCAAGAGGTTCTTATTGTAAATGATAACTGAGGAAATTAAGTGCAAAATTCTGTACCATTTCTGATCCGCTCCTAAACAATCCGTTTCAATTGTATTTGCAGCAGAACACAATGCCCTTTTAAAGTTATTTGACTTGTATTTTTATTTGCAAAACAAGAAAAATACCCTCCACCCAGGCACAATGAAAACTGATATTTACTACTTCCAGCTTGATTACCATTGATTTTTAATTCACAAGTGATGCAATTAAGATTATTCATTTAGTGCAAATAAAGCTTCCCCGGGAAAAAAAAAAAAAAAAGAAGAAGGGAGCCCGGTGAAGTCTGTGTTAAATAATACAGCGCAAATGGCTTTTTTTGTTCGCCACCCAATTGACTTACACAAAACATTGTAAATGCTGCATGCGAGCAGATGCAAGAGTGATTTTGTTTGCAGCTCAAATGTGGTGGGTTTCGGCAGGGACTGAACCAGGAGACAAAGGAGGCGGCCGACCGAGATCTAGGGCAGTTTTGTTCCCTTCCCCCCAGTCCCTCGGTCCAGATCTTGGGTTCCACTCATTCAATCCGGCTTTCGAGGCGTCTGGCTGTTGACACGAATGTGGGTGCACAGGAATGAGAGCTAGCTGCGGAAGCAGAGCCAGAGCCGGGCCCCACTTTAGTGCCGAAACAAACTGGGGGCAGGGGCCCATATTTAGTCACGTCCCTTGATTTGGGCTGCGAAGCAGAGGGCGGGGGAAGGGCAGCGCCAAGGATGCAAGCCCTGAGAGCAAGGCCACCCCACTGGGGAGCCCGGAGGACAGGGAGAGGAGACCCCCGCACGGGCGTTGCGGGCAGGCGGTGCTGGGGGCCTGCCCGCCGGAGGAAGGAAGGGGCTCCCC